CTCTTGCTCCTGAGCATTGCGCAAATTGCGCTCGGGAACGAGAGGTCTGCCCCCACTACCACGACCACGTCCCGGCGCCGCACTGCTCACGCCGGACAGTGTTCCAGCGTGTGCTGCGCCGAGTTCCGGTCGGCCGCGCAGTGACGGCAAGCCGCTATGCGCTACCATCCGATAAACCGCAGGTTCTCCTAGAAGCATCCATGATCAGTGAGCATCTGCGTCAATCGGAAGGTCAGACTTCCATGGGCCCTATCCAGCCATTCCTGCAGACAGGGATCATGTTATCGATGACATCAACGGTTCGTCGGCCCAGCGTCCACTGGTCGTCCAACTGGAGTTTCCAGCGGAAACTGATGGCCCGCTGCTCTGCTTCTTCACGTTATGGCCCTTGCGAAGAGTCCTTCTTCGGCCGCGCAAAGCTCTTCTATGCACATGTATACTTCTCTATACATTTGCGTAAGGAGCTTTGCGGGCATCACCCCTGCGAAAGCCGTGGCGGCACGTTCCTCTAACCCCTGACGAGGCGAGTGGCCATCCATTGTTGCGACCGACGTATTATCATTTTGATGCGCCGGTCGGCCACCACATTGTCGGTCCACACCGGGGCCTCGTGAAGAGCCATGGACTAGACCGTGTTCATATAGAGTCGTCTCACTCGTGCTTGCACTGCCGATATTGGACAGGAGGCCGTACAGCGTAATGGCTGTTTTGTCCAGACTGGGGATCAAGACGTCGAAATGCTGCTTGAACCCCAGGTGCTAACCAGAATGAGGCCGAGATAATTCATGGTCGATCCCATCTCGATACAGGCAGATCCCACTAGGATCTGGGCCGGACGTGGCGCCTCTGCCGAGCCACCGTGATACCAGATGGTCTCGAACTTTTGGGGCGCAACATCCAAGCCCATCCCCGTATAGAGCGAACGGCGCAGTTGATTGCGAATTGCGCAAGAGCTAGCGTCTTCCACCAGTCTTTTCTCAGATCAGCACAAGTGTGTCGTTTGCATAGCAGGCAAGCTGACTGCCGGAGAGAGAGCCATGCGGAGCACGCGGTCATATGCCAGGTTTCAGTAATGGTTCTGTTGCGGATTGAGCGATGTTCGACTGCCGGATTGCAGCGCGCCAGTCGAGATGGTCTCGTGAGTACTGGACTCTCGCCGCCGCAGCTAGCGGCGCACGCCTAGAGACGGCGCGCCACCCGGGTGATCTGCCCGCGAGCGAGTTTGCTTGCTGGCGGGTATACAGGGTGTCCCAGACCACCTGTCTCACCCGATTTTTTGTAAACGCGACATTTTAAAGAAAAATGTTTCAGACAAAAATTTTGTGATTTTGAGGGGCACATAAGATGGTGTCATTGGTTTGACCTTGGATAGTTGTTTGAAGATCACGTGAAGGTCATCTTTAATTTCTTAAATGGAAACCCCCATTTTTCAATGCATATGTACTAGACCGTGTTGTAGCTTACCTCGAAAGCTTTCCAAAACGCTATAATAAAATGTTTTTTTAATCAGTACTTTTCGAGTTATGAGGATTGAAAGTTACGGTACCGCCGGCATTAGCATTACCCAGTCGTGATGTATGACATGTCTGATACTGTTACGTAAGGTGTAACAAAATTCTCATTTACCAGCCATGTCGTATTCAAACGCGGAAGCTTGTGATATGATGCTTATTTTAGGTGAATGTGATGGTCAATTTAGAGCAGCTGCAAGATTGTGGCGAGATCGATATCCAGATTGCGCTCCTCATTTGTACAAAGTTTTTTCTCGCTTAGCTAACCGAATTACCAATAAAGGTATTCTTCAACCGGATCACAATAAAGGTAGATAAATTCGACGCCAAATTAGAGATGAAAGGATGCCGGAGATTCTTCTTGCATCCGCTCAATTGCATCCATGCCATTCATTAAGACGTACAGAAAGAGATTCTGGAATTAGTCGCAGCACAATCTGGCGAATTTTCCATGAAAACAAACAACCGTGGGGTCCTTAGCTCTGTTGACACACACACATTTACACACACAAACACACAAACACACAAAGAGGTGTAAATCTGACCGTGAAACCTCCACCTTGGGTAATGCTATTGCCGGCGGTACCGTAATTTTCAACCCTCATAACTCGAAAAGTACTGATTAAAAAAACNATTATAGCGTTTTGGTAAGCTCTCGAGGTAAGCTACAAGAATATGCATTGAAAAATGGGGGTTTCCATTTAAGAAATTAAAGGTGACCTTCATGTGATCTTCAAACGACTATCCAAGGTCAAACCAATGACACCATCTTATGTGCCCCTTGAAGTCACAAAACTTTTGTCTGAAACATTTTTCTTTAAAATGTCACGTTTACGAAAAAATCTGGTGAGACGGGTGGTCTAGGACACTCTGTATATGATTATTTTTATATATGATTATGCAAACAACATTTTTTATCTAGTTGCTATATAGATAACATCCATTAATGCTTATATCTATGGTTTTGTTATATCTATGATATGGTAAAAAAAATATATATGATGAGTCTGTCTTATCAGTTTTTGATAAGATCCTAGCACATAATAATCGCTCGGCATTTTTATTTGTTTCTGTCGTCATAAGAAGGAGCGCAACTGATAGTTCCAATCAGTGAATTGTCGATTTTTGGTAAATTATCTTAAT